GGGTTGAGGGTTTGAGGGGTTTAGGGGTTTAGGGGCTTCCCGGCTAAGCGCAGTGAGCCTCCGATCTGCACAATCTTTAAACTTTAAACGCCGCAGACTGAAAAGATAAGCCTGCACCTGCACTCCCAACAGGACCTTATACCGAGCTATTGGGTCCTTATGGACCCCTAATTTACACATAGTTATTGTAATAATACTAAAATATAGTAGCACTGACAGAAATATCAATAAGAATAAGAAGAATGATAGCAAGTCCGTCATGTATGGTGCATTCGGACCATCGCTAACCCGTAAACCCCGAAACCCGAAAACCTAAACCCCTAAAGCCCCTAAAACCCCTAAAACCCCTAAAACCCCTAAAACCCCTAAACCCCTAAACCCCTAAACCCGTAAACACTAAACCCTAAACCCCTATAAACCCCTATGATAACCCCTATAAACCCTTACAACCCCTATAAGTTCTTCTCCCTAAACCCTAAATTAAACCATAAACCCCTATAGCCTCTATAACCCCCAAAGCATCCCTACACCCCTAAACCCTTATTTTCCCTAAACCCTACACCCCTAAACCCTTGTCTTCCCTAAAGGCCCTATAGCCCCCAAAGCATCGTCCGAGGCTCTCGGTCGCCTTCTCAGGCGGCCCTGTCTTGGCCACGGCGTCCAACGACCGAAGTGTGCGACTTTGGCATCTGCAGGCCGTTTTTGAGGGGGTTTTATCGGGGTTGTTAGGGGGTGCGAGGGGTTTAGGTTTTGAGGGGTTTTTAGGTGGTTTTAGGGGTTTTAGGGGTTTTAGGGGTTTAGGCGTTTAGGGGTTTAGGGGTTTTAGGGGTTTAGCGGTTTAGGGGTTTAGGGGTTTAGGGCTGTAGAGGTTTAGGATTTAGGAGCCCCTACCCAAACCCCCGAAGGTAGGTAAAATAATGGCCCAACACTTACAATAAGGCTATTGCTTTACATCCAGGTAAACCCTAAATCCTTACAGCCCCAAACCCTAAACCCCGCAGTTTTGTGCCAGAAGGCACGAAGGCGTCCGGCTTCCACCCCACCAACTTAAACTACCCAGAGAACCCGATACCCCTTAATTAAGGAATATATGCCTTAAGTTGGAGGGCCCTTCATAAATTATGATTTAAAGTATTTTTCCTGAATTTAGGGGTATTGGGTTCTCTGGGTACCACAACCCTACCAACTTTTGGGGCTCCTACCCTCCTTGTAACCTCAAGCATCGGGTATATGGCCTCAAATGAAGGGTATTTCGGGTCTAATAGAGGGTAGATGGAGGGTCTAGGCAATGAATTCTATATTAGCCTACAAAACCGAACCCTAAACCCTAAGCCCTAAATGTAGGCTGTGCTAGTTTATGGTAAGCTCTGTGTCCTGGTGTGTCTTTGGCTTGCGAGCGTGGGGCTTTGCCGTTAACAGCAGGCTGCCAGGCATTCAGAAAGGTGGTTAAGGGTTGAGGGTTTACGGATTATTTTTTAGGCCTTCATAAAGGTTTACCTTAAGCTACCAAAGCCTGCTTTTAGTAGATTCTTATTCTAAACCCTCCCCTGCAATTTTGCAAATTTATAGGAACCCGAAGTTCTTGTAGGTTAACTTAACCTTTTGCGACGATCTAGAATCCGGGGGCTTAGATTCTTAGATTATCAAGGGTTTAGGGCAGACAAGCAGACTGAGTCCTAGTCCTAAGCATGTCAATCCTTGACAATTGACCGCGTTGGCCTCAAATCTTCCACCTGATCCTCAAGCCCAGAAACCTTAGGGTTTAGGGTTTGGGAGGTTTAAGGTTTAGGGTTTAGGAGGTTTAAGGATCAGGGTTTAGGGCTTAGGAGGTTGAGGGTTTAGGAGGTTTAAGGGTTTAGGAGGTTTAAGGGTTAAGGATCAAGGGTTTAAGTCTCAAGCTTTGAACCGCTTAATTACATATGGAAACACCATGCCTGCAGGATGGCAGCTGCCTTCGGAACCTCCAGGGGCATACCGATGGCATCAATTCCGCCGGAAGCCAAGCCGCCAAACTTGCCCTAACCCACCTAGACCCTAAACTCTAAACATACAACCGTTAATTAGCCCTAACCCAAACCCTAGATCCGAAACTTAAAGCCGACATACAGCAGGAATTAAGTCTGTGGCGGTGCGGGGTTCGTCTCGTTTTCAGTTCAGGGGTTGCTCTTCGGTTTTGGCTTAACGTAGGGGACGGAAAAATTGGCAATAGCCTTAATCTTTGAAGCCGATTTGGGTTGATCGGCCGCTACCCTACAGCATGCCTGAACTCCCAAGGTACATTGAACCACATTCGAGCAAAAGTCCATGCCGCAGCCATCCGAGGGGGCTCAGTCTGGTACTACTAGACTACTGATGGTGGTGGTGGTGTTGGTGGTATAGTAGTAGCAGACAAAGAATACCTATACCGTCCTATACCTGTAGTCAGCGCCGCATGATGCTAATTGCAGACCAGGAAGACCTTGACCAAGAAGTAGCCTGTTTGATGACTGAGATAAGGCGGCCCGGGGCCTCTTTCAGATCATTTAGGCCCTGCAGAATGCCTGGCTTTCATGATGCCTCTCGGCCAGACAACTGGTGCATCGAAAAGGCACTGGTGCTCTCTTGCCCTCTGGAGCAGTCAGGAAGCGTATGGTTGCGTGGCATTGCTTACGTTTTATCCTCTAAAGGGATCTATCAGGGGGCCTTAATGAGTAGACTAGGGTTTTTGAGGGTTCCTTATTATAATTATAGTATGATAGTGGCATTGCTTACGCTTTAGCGAGAGAGACAGCCATATTGGGGTTGAATGTAGGGCTTGAAGAATTGTTCGCAATGTTGCCCACCATAATCCCCATTCGAAGCCGCGCTCTAACTACATGAAATCAGCACACGACTCCTTTCGCAACGTTGTTTCCTTGTTTTGTTGATGTGTTTTCTCTTCGACTTCCATATTGTTCCATGCGTGTAATTATACTACACCATGCGCCCAGCCTCGATTCAGACTGTTCGTGCCCCTATGCCCACTGGCTGTCTTCCGTAACAGCACTCGCCTAGAGTCTATAGATGATTGAGAGGTGGTTTGAGGTTTTGAGGCTTTACCCTGAACCCTAAACCTTTGAAGCTCGAGGGGTTGAGGGAAGCATTTCCTGTTTGTTGTGGCGACGTCACAGAGGTCAAGAGGATGGCTTTATGCTAAGATGGGGGGATCTGAAAGGGAACTGCATCCTGAGAAACAAAAGTTGCGGTTCTTGCGGAAATGGGGTACGTTGAGGACCCCAGGGGTTTTGGAGTTTATGAGGGTATTGGGGGGGGGTCCCTGTTACTAGGGGTCACGGAGCATGTTGAAAGACTCCCATATATTTAGCCTTCGTAAAGATCTTCGGAAAGCTCAAGGAAGAAGACCGAGATGGACTATGGAGCTATGTGTCGCTTCTGCCGGGAGGAGTGCAAGGTGACCGGTTTTGGGTTTAGGGTTTAGGAGGATGTCTCCAAACGTGAGTAGATGCAACTTTTTCTGGTGGTTAGTGGACTTCGTACCATATTGGTATGTAGGATCCCTTGGGCAGGTTGAAGTTCATCCGGAGTCCATCCACACCGCGAGGCTGAAGCAGAGTGACTGCTTCCGGCGCTTCCAAGCATTCTTCAGTGGGCAGCACGATTTCTTCTTTGTGGCTGTTCAGGGCGAAAGTGCAGATGGCAAGCTGCAACTACATGACGGCACAGTATCTTGTGAAGATGTCCTGCAGCTCTGGAGGAATAGGAGGAGGCTAGCCCTCCCACCCGCCATTCTGTTCCTGCTTCTGGACTTCTGCCACAGTGGAGCTTGGGTAGATGTCTGTAAAAGACAAGCACCAGAGCCGGAGGTCTTCGTTCAAGCAGCTTGCTCTGCAGGTGGCGCGACACCCGACAACTACGAGGGGTCATTTACCCAGAAATGGATTAAGGCACAGCGTGAGAAGAAGTTTAAGCTGACGAGGATTCCATGCCTTCAATTATGGAATCCCTGCTATCATGCGCCGGCTGGGGCTGGCTTGCCTGAGTTTGGCAAGTGCTCCATCCTCCTTGTGGGAAGTGATACGGCGGCACAACAGCATGTAGCGCTGGTTTCGCATGGTGTGTCCAAGGTGGATGGCAGCTCCTTCCTCAAAGATGGTGGCTTGCTTCAGTTTGTCTTCGCACCATAACGAATAGTCACGGGGTTTCTGCACATTAGTAGGGATGCTTTTGTAGGGATCTTAAGAAAGAATGCAGTAAACCGGGGTCTGCATTGGGGTCCCGCCATTTACGGAACATTTTGCTAGTCACTGCTAGTCCACGTGCGTACGCCCCTCAATGCGCCGTAATTTTTTTTCCACGAAACAACCTACATAAGTTGCATTCAAGTTACATTGGCTTTGAGCGGAAGAAAACCATTGCCGGTGAACACAAGGCTTTTTGTTCAAACCCAAAACGGAGAGAGTTCTCTTTGTCCCAAGGGAAGATTTTCGAAACACGGTGTGGCTGTGATTATTTTCACATGCTCCGAAGCCAATCAAATCTCTCAGCACCAAGTTGTACTCTCTTACGGGAAAACCTTTTGGTTTGTTTCACAGAAGTCTGTCATCGGCCTAGCTTTCTTTTGCAAGAACCCGAGAAGTTTGGAAACCCATATAAGAAACCTCTTTCTTCTTTTCCAGGCCAAGCCTTCCAGGCTGGGGGCAGCGTCTTGTTTGTACAATCATGCAATGCTGCTCCATTCTTCCATTCCCGGCTAACCACCAGCAAGTAAATGGAGGGTTCATTAGGGGTCCCTTGTAGGAAACAAAAGTAGAATCAGAAGTAAAAATAGACGGAGTTTCCAGCCAGTGCAAAACAACATTCGAGAAACGGTCTTATTCTCTTGAGCCATGCCTTAGTACCCTCCCCCAGTTTCTCGATTAGGTCGGACTCAAAATGTTTTTTCCTTCCATCCGGTGACGGTAGTGCGGTAGCCAAAGCGGATACCGGTAATCACACGGGGACTCCGGATTTTACTCCTATATCTCCGAGTCTTGGTTGAAGAGTTCTTCGCCACACCGTAAACTCTGGAACCTCGCTGTTTGGTTCTCGGGGATAAAGACCTTATGTGCGTCCCAACCCAGAACACGTAACCACCAGGTCGTGAAACTGGGCTCCCGCGACCGTACAAGTTGTAGCACTGTTTGTACCATGCATCCTAAAACCTCCAGAACCCCGGCACCGCCAACCTCAATGTTTACGTAGAGGCGGCCGGTGACGCGCAGTCGCACTGCAACAAAGACTGAAGTTGGGAGGGGGGGAGGTTTGTGAATATGCGAAACCCTTAAGCCTAAACCGTAAACCCCTAAACCCTAACCCATGTAAAACCTCACCAGCAGAGCTGAGGCAGCAGTCTTTTCAACCTCCATGTGAGCACCATGAACCTTTACAGCAGTTCCCAGTTCCAGTCCTGCAGCAAGTTCCAGGATGCAGCAGAGGCTATGCGAACTGCACGCAAAACTGCTACTTCTGTAAAACGGGTAGAAGTTGCGTTGCTGTTCCATTTGGAAGACTACTATATCTTCTGGAGGTATGGTGATCACGAGCAGATGTGGCAGGCACTTGACATGGTCGCGAAAATGACTCGGAGCTGCACCACTGAAAATGCGGCAGCGATTCGAGCATTGGCATTGGCTTGGAAGAGCTGTAAATGTTTGGGACGTTTACAGCTGCAGCACAGCAGGTCCATGTTTGAGCAGGCTACGGAGGCTCTGTCTGAGATGATTGCCATCTACGATCAGGCTAGTCTAAGCAACGTGGTCTGTGCTGAAGTCACAATGGCTCTCGGCTTCTGGAACGAATGGAGGGCGCAGCAGTATGGGCAGCCTGAACCTGATGCATGGCCCCGGGCCAAGATGCTCCTTTCGCGGACACTGGAGCACTACGGCCATTGTGGCTTTCTGGAGGAGCTGGCTAACGATGGTCTGAAGCTGTGCGGGATTCAGCTACAGATGGACGTTGCCGACAAGCACGCGACCCCTTACGAAGTGCTGGTTACTGAAGCTCAGACCTTGATCCGAGGACACCTGCTTACAGTGCAGCGCAAAGGTTTAGAACGCTTCAGTGAAAGAAGCAGCATAAGATGCCTCGCAACGTTGATTCAAGCATGCTGCCCGCGCCCTTCCGAGAAGGAGAAGGGCCTTGGCTTGCTGGTGGTAAGTCAGCTCGCGCCGGCAGCGATGTTGTTGCACTGCTACATGGCTCATGGGCATAGAGAGGACCAACTTGTGGACGAATTCTCTCAAGCTCGGATGATGACGTCTGTCGGCTGTCGAATCATGTTCTTCTTGGACGCAAGCAGCTTGCCCAGCTTGGAGCCGTTCATGTGGTATGCACCTTACTTACACAAATCCGCACGTTGAATTCGTGCACAGGATTCTTTCCATCCTGCCGTTGTGTCAACGGGACTTTGCAGCCAGCTTCCGTAAAAGAGGGCTTGACCAAAAACAGCGGCCAGTTGCACAACAACATGGGGGCAGATAGCCTGCAAGGTTCAGGGGCTGACATGTTCTTTCTACTGCCTGTGTCATGCTATCCTTTTCGACCCCCTAAAAAAAACAGAATATAAAACCTTTCAACTGTACAGAAGCCCTGTATAAGCGAAAAAACCCTGAACCATGTAGGTATATATGTAGAGAGAGAGAGAGATATATATATATATATAATATATATATATATAGATAGATCGATAATTAGATAAATAGATAGATGGATAGATAGATATAAATAGATACTTAGAATCATACATAGATAGATGGATAGATAGGTAGATAGATAGATGGGTAGGTAGATATATAGATGGATGGATGGATAGATAGGTAGACAGGTCGATAGACAGACAGATAGGTAGATAGCTAGATTGGCAGATAGGTAAATAGATAGTCAGATAGACTCCGAAAGTCGCGTGAGGTCTGCTTCGGCCCGACAGCCGAGACCCTCCTCACCGCCTCAGTGGACCGAGGGCGGCGGAGGGCATCGGAGTTGTCCAGGGCTCTCTCTGAGGCTCCATAGGGAGCCTTTTCGGGTTCCTTTAAGGAAGGGTTGGGAGTTGAAGGCTCCATGTACCCATGTAGTAACTTAGGCCTCAAAGTACCTAAAACGGAACCCGTTGAAGGCCTAAGAAAACAATATGGGTACATGGAGCCGAAGGCTTTGGGCGCTAATTGGTCTGGACATTTTTGCAGAGGGCTGGGGGCTGAACATAAGGAAGGGGCTTGAGTAGAGCTGTTTACATATTTATGCGATGTTTTTGAGGGCCTCAATCCTGTTTTGTGGACTGCCTTATAGGGTGTTTTAGGGCTTTGTGGTTTGGGGTTTAGGGGATTAGGGTTTAGGGTTTAGGGCTTTATGGTTTGCCTTGATAGTTAGAATGGAGACTGAGGCGACGAAGAGTTGTGAGATGAGTCCCGTAAACCCCCTAAACCCTAAACGCTACACCCTAAACCCTACGTTGACGACAGGACCGCACGGCCAAGCTTTGGTCGAGCAACGAAGGTGCGGTGCTGCGGAACTTCGAGGGCCACAAGGCTCGGTTTAGGGTTTAGGGAGTCTGTTTTTTGGGGTACACTTTTTTTTTGTGTGATCTCTGAAAGATGTCTAAGAGGGTTCTTTAGGGTTTAGGGTTTAGGGAGTCTCAGGAGTTTTTTGGGGTGCACTTTTTTTTGTGAGTCGTTTACAGATGTCTAAGAGGGGCTCTTGTCAGGGTTCGATAAGGGTGCTATGAGTTTCTGACTGTGGGGGTTCTAAGCCCTAAACCCTAAGCCCTAAACCCTAAACCTTAAGCCCTAAACCCTAAGCCCTAAACCCTAAACCCTAAGGTTTTTGGATTTGGAGTTGGAGGGTTTGGCAGAGGACCCACCGGGTTTCGGAGCTCTGGGGTTTAGGGGCGCGCGGCTTTTTTGGGCTCAGGGTGCGGTGCGCCCACAGGCTCCATGGTAGTTCCTTTTTGGGATTACCTTATGGGATCCTAAATATGAACCACAAAATGGAACTGCCATGGAGCCTATGGGTTTTGGTGGTATTGGGGTTCGCCTGATTTTGTGGCTTTCGGGCTAGGGGCACAGGGTTTAAGGGTTGGGAGACCCCAAACCCCTAAACTCTGAACCCTTTAAACCCCGGAACCCCTAAACCCCTAAAGCCCTAAAGCCCTAAACCCCTCAGGCCCTAAACCCCTGAAGCCATAAAACCCTAAACCTCTAAACCCCTAAGTCCCTAAACCCTTAAACCCCTGAACCCTAAACCGGGCTGAGCGGTCCAGGAGTTGATTTTGGGATCTTGGGTCCAGAGATTTCAGACGTTCAGGTTTACCTGTAGACCCCTAAATGTCGTACCCTTTTGGGGTTTAGGGTTTAGGCTTTAGGGTTTAGGGTAGTACCTTTTTTGGGTTACCTTAGGTTCTTAAAAACAGGAGTCCTAACCGTAGAATAGGTCATCAATGCAACTGTAAAGGTACTGTTAAGGGTCTAGGTAGAGTTTGGATCCAGCCCTTTATAAAACAACTTAATCAAGGAATATACCTTAGATTATAGTAGGATCCCCAATATGTGACTCAAGGTCTATTCCTTAATTAATTTTGGACGGTCTGGGGGATTTAGGGTGTCGACTTTGGTACTTCGGCAAGAACTAATACAGAAGCCCGATGTTTCTTAGGGTTCCTCTTGTTGTCAATATAGTATACAGCCCTAGTAGTAGACTAGGTAACCTTTAACATTTTTGGGGTATTATAACTCCTATATACTCCCAAGGTACTCCCAAAGGTTAACCTAGTTCCCCAGGATACTCGACAAGTAGAGTCTTTTCCAACCATTGTGTCCTCGACTTTGTCGCAACCTTTCCTAGCTTCAGAAGGGAATCTGGACCAGGATATGCCGCAGAGAAGCGGCGATCTAGACGCAGACCTGTCCGACAGAACCTGCTGGGCTTAGGATCTAGGGTTCAGGGTTTAGGGCTTCGGCTTGAGGGTTTAAGGTTTTAGGGTTCAGGGCTTTGGTTTCGGGTCTAATTAATGTCATTGGGCAAGGCACGATATGTCGGTTGATTAGGGTTTAGGGTTTAGGGTTTAGGGTTTATAGGGATTAGGGTTTAGGGTTGATGATATAAATCCTGGACTACCGATAATAAGGAATAAACCATAAATTCCCATAGTTTAGGGTGCTTAAGGTAATGCAGGATTCATATCATCAACGGTAGAAGCGGGTTCTGACTCATGTGACGTTGAAGGTATACCCATAGGCTGCATGGTAGTTCCTTCTTTGTGGTTCATATTTAGGATCCTATAAGGTAGTCCCAAAAAGGAACTACAATGGAGCCCATGGGTATTGCTTTAGGATTGCAGGGGTTTTGGGAGTTTCTATGCCACCTTAAACCTGGTCGCGAGCTGTACCCGCAGTTCCTCTGGTCCCCAGGAGGGCACGCATCTGGAAGGGTATGGCTGTTGGGAGGCTCTCATGCGTAAGTGTCGATATGTGCGGATATATACCTACCCGATCTACCAATCTATTTGGCCGTCCATCCGTCCGCCTATCTACCTGAGCAACCTCTATCTACCCGTCCATCCATCCCTCCATCCATCCATCCAATCCAATCCATCCACCGATCCATGCTCCTAGATTGGTCTCTCTATGTTTCGATCATTATTCGACCACTCTACTTCTCTCCTTTCTCTCAAAAGGTCCATCTATCTGCCAACCTGTGCAAGCATACAGTGACATGTAAAGAAGACCCTACTAAGTCTAAATCCGAAACCTGAACCCGAAGCCCTATTCTCTAAGACCCTAGACCCTAAACTGCCCTATAAACCTACCCTAGACCGAAACCCTACCACCGTAAGCCCTGAATGGCCGAATCCTGCTTCCCTGCAGGGAGAGGTGACCTGCGCCCGATTTTCGCCACCCCAGGCCCGCAATTTGCTCGAATTCGGATAACCCCTCGCTCTGTGGGGTTTGGGACAAGGGTTCTACAACTTAGTTCTCCAATACCCAACCTTTAAACATTTTTGGGTTCTTATATAATTTAGAAGTAATCTGAAAGTTTAACCTTTTACTTCCCTGGCTTATTGGGGAAGTAAGACAAGACTTCTATGAGGGTTCCCTAAGAGATCTGTAAGGCTTCCATATATAGAAGGTTTGGGCTAGGCCTCCAGGAAGAAGAGTTTTTGAGGGGACCTTATTGAGAGGGTCATATGCCCAAGGGTCCCCCTAATGCTAACTCCCAGGAAATAGGGTTTGGGAAAACGGTCTTCGGTTGTGTGTGTGTTTAGGGTCTAGGTTCCTGATCAGAAGACTGTGGCAAATCTATGGGCCGATCTGGAAGGTTATGGATGAACCAGAGCCCAGTACAGACCCTAACTAACCTAACAGCCGCTTTACCAGAGAGTAGAGATTGTGGACCCTGGACCCTAAACCCTGAACCCTGAACTCTAAACCTTAAACCCTAAACCCTGAACCCTAAAACCCTAAAGCCCTAGACTCTGCACCCTAAAACCCCTTGAGAGGGGTTGAGGATGGAGTTCGATGGTCTCGGGGAGCTGGAGAGATCCAGAATGCTGGGTCCGGTGACCTGACTTCTGTGGCGGCGGTGATGGCGAAAGTTAGGGGGAGACTTCTGGCCATAACCTACAACTACAGTTTTGTTTTTTAACACCCGAAGCCCTTAACCCTAAGAAGCCCTTTTCCGCCGGCAGGGTGGGGAAGCGGCAGCAGGCTGTTTTCGTTGCTCCCACACATCTGACAATGACTTGTCGGAGCGGTCGTGCGAGTGTGTCGGTTGGCTGTGGTAGTTTTGCAGGTGGTGAAGGCGCGGTCAATCCCATTGAACCCTTACGTTGCAGCTCCGAAGCTGTGCATGCTGAGGAGATACTGAAGGTGCTTCTACGAGAAGATTGTTCGACGGAAGTCCGGCGGCCAGAAGCCTTTTCTGTCACAGTCTGAAAACCCTCAGCACCAAGACACATGCCAAGAGCTCAAACCCTCAAATTCAAACCCTCCACCTTGATGCCAAATCCCTAAGCCATATTCCTTAAACTCTAATCCCCTAAACCCTGAGCCCCAAGAAACTAAGACCTAAACTCCAAGACCTAACCCTAAAACCCTAAACCGTAATTCCTAAAGCCCTAAAGCCCTAAAGCCCTAAACCCTAAAGCCCTAAAGCCCTAAACCCTAAACCCCTGAACCCTAAGCCCCAAACCCCTAAAGCCCTAAACCCCTAAAGCCCTAAACCCCTAAACCCTAAAGCCCTAAACCCCTAAACCCTAAACACTGAAGCCTAAACCCTAAACCCCTAAAAGCCCTAAACCCCCAAAACCAGGGAACCGAAGGGTCCGACTCTTGGCTTCTGGGGATCCGGGCCATGGCTCTGATGCTCAGAGACTCCAATATCCCTTAATTAAGGAATATACCTTAAATCATATTAGGGATCCTGCTATAATTTAAGATATATTCCTTAATTAAGGGGTATTGGAGTCTCTGGGTACTCACATCCTGCACTTCGAGGGTCCGGGGACTTCGCAAGTAGGGCTGTCGGTAGGGTTTTAGGGGTTTAGGGATTTAGGATCTAGGGGTTTAGGGGCTTTAGGGGGTTTAGGGGCTTCAGGGGTTTAGGGCTTAAGGGGTTTAGGGCTTCTTTCGACTTATAAGCCCGAGTAGGCTTCTTGTGGCCCAACTTACCAATGCACCCAGAGACTCCAATACCCCTTAATTAAGGAGTATATCTTGAATTATAGTAGGATCCCCAATATGATTTAAGGTATATATCCTTAATTAAGGGATATTGGAGTCTCTGGGCACCTGATCCTCTGAGCCAGGGCAACCTCATCGCCACTTCTTCCGCGGACCACGAGATCAGGCCCAGTCTCCCTCAACCCGACCTCGGCCGTGGAAAGCCGACCTTGTAGGGTTCCTTATCTAGGACGTACTTCTTGATTGAGAAAGGTAGTTCAGTTGGGGTTATCCCAAAAAGTGTGTCGAACTACCCGGAGAGCAGCCTTATAGAAAGGATTCTGAGAGGGACCTGAATTTAGAAAAATACCCTTTAATCCTGAACTTCGAACCCTAAACCCAACAGACCCAAAACCCAAGCCTCCAAGAACACAAAACCCGGAACCCCAAAACAACAAGAAGCCGGAACAAGGGGGCACCTCGATACGCCCCTAAACCCTAAACCGTGGAGATGAAAGGCGACAGAGCTGGGTCATGGCTATCAGGCCTTAAAGGGGTCCCTATATAGGTACTTTAAGGCCTAAGTATCTACTATATGGGTACATGGAGCCTTAGGGTTAGTTTTTGGATCTAGGGCTTACAAGCTTTAGGGCTCAGAGGGTCTAGGGTTGGAGTTTATACCTGTAACTCTCCTCACCTGCAGTTTAGCAGCCATGACCCCTTAAATGTCAAGGTAGAATCCATAAAACTCTAGGTAATGAGAGTCCCAGGTAGAGTTTAGGGTTTACAAGGTTCAGGGATTAGGGCTTTGGGTTTCAGGATTTCCGATGTAGCAGGGCCGGCAATTGTCCCGAAAATTCAGAGACTACCCTGGCCCTGAATTTCTCCCTGGTTCCTAGCAGGGAATGGGGGAATGGATCCCTGTGATAGTCCCTTACGGTCCCAAAACCCATTCCTCCATTCCCTACTAAGAATCAGTCATTTTGTAGTGCCTTTCTTGCCAATAGTCTGCTTGATGTTTACTTGCGTCCTCCAAAGCCCATTATAAAGCGGGTCGAGTTGTAGTTCTTGGCTATTTACTGATCTTGAGAACAAGTCTGTTTCCTGTCGTTTCCTGTGCCCAAAAACCATAATATGTTAGCTACAACAAGAAGGTCAGGCAGCCAACAAAAGCAATCCAGAGTCTGGGTACCCACAGGCTCCTTCGTAGTTCGTTTTGGGATTACCTTGTAGGATTCTATATATATATATATTTATATATATATATACATACCCACAGAAAGGAACTACTTAGGAGCCTATGGGCAAGCTCCGCAACGCAAGGATTCCTTGCGCAGCCTGTCGGCTCAAGCTGCTTCTTGCGCTGCGCTGGGCCGGCAGAATGTTCAGAAGCCTCCTTGCCACACTGGCTTTGGGGACTTCCCTGGTGCATGCGGCACTGACTCCAGGGTATTCTACGCAGACCATCCAGCATGGTGGAGTCGAGCGGGAGTTCAAAGTCTATCTTCCCAGCAACTTAGATAGCCAATGGGAGAATTTTAAACTTTTTGGCCTTATATATCAGGTCTATCCTAAGAAAGTTCGACCTTTTTCGGGCCTGGTTGTTGAAGAAGAGAGGCAACTCAATCTATACTGGCCTCTTCTTGATGCACCATGGCTGGACAGAGACCATGGATTCTGCATGTTCCTACGGAGAGATTGAGAAGTATGCAGAAGAGTACGGATTCGTCGGTGTTTGTCCCCAAGGGCTTCGTTATGCCAATGGCGAAACCGGGTGGAATGTTGCTAGGTAGGCCCTTGGGACATTTTATATTTTCCCTTATTGGGTTTAAGAGGATCTTACTTGCGAACATTTTTCAGGGGTTTTAAAGGGCCAACCTAGGTTGGCACTTGTTGTGCGGGTGCAGACAGTGCGGGCACCGACGACGTGGGATTCATCAGAAAGGTCGTTGAGTTTGTCAATGCAGAAGTTAGCATCCCTCCAGGTCGCACTTATGCCGGTGGCTTCAGCAACGGTTGTGCATTATCCTTTCGCTTGGCATGCGAGCTCTCGGATGTCATTTTTGGTGTCGGTTGTGCAGGAGCTGCATACGACCATGCGTACAGTGGACGCGGAGTCTTGACCTGCAATCCCGCTAATCCCCGCCCATATTGGTCTCAGATAGGCAGCTTCGACACTTTCTACAGCGTGACGGACAGCAAAGCCGGATGGCGGAAGTACGCCACAGAAGTTCTTGGCTGTGGCAGCGCTACAGAAGTGGTCTACAACCAGGATTCCGTGACCTGTGAGGAGCATACGCTGCTCGGCCCCGAAACTCATCAGCCGTTTCCTTCCCTCAACTAGGAATTGTGAAGTCATAATCACAGTCGCCATCATGATCAGAGTTGGCAGTTAACAGATACAGCAACACTAAGATTTACTGATTCTGGGCTTTGGAGTACCATACTTGAATACTTTTTTTGGGGAGTATGCTTATCCGCCTATCCAGGACTCCATAGACTATGTCTCGATATGTCATTATATATTTATATGCATATATGCATATATACATATATTATA